GGAAGGTGGTAGGTAGGTAAGAATGGCGGTCGGTCGGTCGGTAGGTAAGAAAGGAAGGTGGTAGGTAGCTAAGGAAGGCGGTCGGTCGGTCGGTAGGTAGATAAGGAAGGAAGGGATGGAGGAAGGGAGGGCAGGTGAGCGGGCGGCTCACTCTGCATTCTGTAGACTCTTACACATGTTGTTCACCAGCCAGTTGTAGCTCAGTAAATACGTTTTCAATGCACCCATAGACGACGTTAGCTCAAGTTCATCGGGACAAGTCTGTCCTCAGTTTTTTTTCTGTCATGGTAGAAAACACACAAACTGTGAGAAATCCCACAGAAAATGATCTCCTGGCATTTGCTTTAGACGTTAAAGGACTTGAGGAAATTCTGTTAACGAATGATGCCTCGTTTAGATTCCAGCTCCCATCTAGATTTCAGACCTCCTCTCCTGGCATCAGTGACTCCACACGAGCACATCTTTTTGTCTCTTCGTGGTGGAGCTGCTGCCGCAGCAGAATGAGCTCCTGGGTCTTTAATTCCACATCAAAGGGTCAGTTCGGGCATCAGTAACGTTTCCCAGGCCGGCACACTGTGATCACACTCCTCGGCAGCCAGGAGCCGGGATCCGATGGGCGGAGCCGGTGTGGGTGGGGGGGGGTTGGGGGGGGGGGGCACTTTTGTCTGTTCTGAATGAGAATCATAGAAACAAAATGTGAGCTGAATGTGTGCGCGGAGCAGAACCCTGCTGTGACATCCTGTAGGAATATTCCTGTTGCACATTTGTCTCTGCTTGGTTCAGGTTTTTTTTTTTTTTGTGTATTTACTCCCTCGAAACAAAGTTTATGCAAGTGGGACACTAGAATGAAAATCTGAAAACCCCCTTCAACTTTTGCACAAAGCAAAACCTAGGATAACATCATGTTCCACACGTTTGAATATTGAGCGAAACAGTCTGATAAAGCTCCACCAGAAACTGAGATTACACTTTCATGGTGCAGACTGACATAAATGAACTTTTGAGCCCATAAAACAATTTTACCTTTGATTTTGTAACCAGGAGATAAACTGAGTGGAAGAATAAGAAGCATTATTGTGAGAATCCAAGAGGATTGTACCCTCAATAACAAAACGTGCTTTAAAGTGTCTTTATGTTGATACAAAAAGGTCTTTTATGAGGGGCCTGAAATCTCTGTAGCTACTGCAGTTATTTTATTGGCTTTGAAGAGTTTTTATAAACCTGCAGATTTATGAAGTCAGCTGAGCTCAGGCAGGAGCATGTAATCCTTCAAGTTAAAACACTGAAATCCCCACGACTGAGGTTATGAGACTTTGAACTAAACGTGCTGATAAGAAGCTGCCTGACAGCGTTTTCATCACGAGTTCGTTTTATTTGCCTCTTCAATAAGGTTCAGTAAACCGATAGTTCGGCTTTTTATTTTTTTTTATTTGAGATCCATATTTCAGGTTTTTATTGGAGTATTGTCATTTTCTGCTCGCAGTGTGACCGAAACAGGACTGAACAGCAAATGTTGCACAGAAACACTTGTGTTTACGTCTTTGTGCGCTTCCTCGTGCTACTAATGCTAATTTCAAGTTTTATTTGTAAAGTGTGGTTACAAATGGTTTTGTTACATCTGGTTATGGTTTTAGATGCTTCCATAGGATGCTAACAGTCAAAATTGATTTCTGAAAAGAACCACAGCTACCGTATTTTACGGCATATAAGTCACAGTTTTTTGCATAATTTGCATGTCCTGCGACTTGTACACCGAAGTGACTTATTTATGATCCCCCCCCCCATATTTATAAATTTTGGCTGAGATATGACCATATTCATTAATTCTGACACTGAAAATATCGAACGCTACCATTTTCAGCCGCTAGATGGCGCTCAAGCAGTATGGCATGCAGTTGCGTCATGTAATAGGTAAAAGTGGCTATTAATGACACAATTGGCTTGCCATAGTTGCCACCTTCATCTAGCTCGCCCGGAGCAACCGTCAAATCAGCTTCATTTTGCTGCGCCACCCCGGCGAAATGCAGCTGATTGAAGTGCATTCATTAAGTAAAAGTTCAACTGAGACACACCTTTACTATAATTTCAAGCAAACAAATAAATGTTTTAGGTGGTTATCTTGTTACATTTCAAAGAAATGCACAGCGAGTCCTCCCGTGCACGCTCCTGCAACCGCCATTTGGCAGCCAATCGATTTTTGGCACAACACCGGCCCACAGTTCTGGATTGTCTGCGATGACGTGTAATACCATACCATACCATACCAATTTATTTATATAGCACTTAAAACAGCAACAAGGCCAACCAAAGTGCTGTACAAAAGAACCAAACATGCACAGCAGACAGGAAAACATAAAATAGAAATACATATACAAATAGCAGCAGAAGCTAACTAAAATGGCCAACAGAGTAGAGAACAGACCGGATCAAAACAAATCACACCGTGTTAAAGGCAAGAGAATAGAAGTGGGTCTTCAAGCGAGACTTAAAGACTGAGAGTGTGGGAGCCTGCCGGACACTCAGTGGCAACTCATTCCACAGTCGTGGACCTGCAACAGAGAAAGCCCTGAATAGATCTCCCAACCTGTAATAGATGCGATGTACATGGCGAAGCGACATATTTATGTTTTTTCCACTTTATTAGACATGGTGTAGAGGCAGGACAGCCGGCTTGGGACCCAAAAGTCCCAGGTTCGATCCCCAGTCACTGCACATCACGTGGTGTCTCTGGGCAGCACACCTCATCCCCAAAATGCCCCCCGGGCGCCTTCAATAGCTGCCCACTGCACCACCTGGTGGTGGATGGGTTAAATGCAGAGACTAATTTCGCCATTGTATGGAAACATACAGTGCTGACATTGTGATGACATTATTATTATTATATTTGGACTGATGTGACGTGTACGGCGGCAAGTACGGTACTTGGAATAAATGCTACGTGTTGTCTCTAATTAATTTCTTCAAGACTATTTTTAATTTGTTACTTAAAAGAAAGAGAGGAAAAAAAAGAGCCAGAATCTGCCTATTTCTTATATTTTGTATATTATAGTACGTAAGCGAGGAGGTGGGTACAATGTGAGTGTACGTAAAATATAAATAAAACAAATGTGCACAGTTTTAAAAGCAGTGCACACAAAAAAAGGCTGTGATTTAGAAAAAAAAATATCTCATAACTCACACAACTTGCTGGTCTCAACATTCTGAATTTAATTGGACACTTTATCGATTTTCTTGGAATTTTTCTCCCAACTTGGAGTTGCATCCCAGAGTGACGCCACCTCCTCACCTCCTCCTCGTGCTCCTTACTTTCTCCTGATTTCTACAACTGCAAGAAAAGAATTGTAACTTTGCTCTGGAATTAAGTAGTGGAGCGGAGAAGGTATTCCAGTGGATTTTACATTTTTCTTTCTTACTTTTCAAAGGTCTCCATCATTTTTACACCAACTCAAACACACACAACCATCACCATCATCATCATCATCATCTGGCACCATTCTCTCCATCTTACGATGTAATCTTGGCTGTAATCTTTTCAGAACCTTTTATTTTATTTTATTCTGCAGTTTTATTGATTCAATTTTATTTTACCAGTTCCAGTACACCCACCTCTCTGCACTTTGTCTGGCTTCTTCATGCACCCTTTATTTTTTTAATTATTTACTTCATAACGTCTGAAAGCGACCCCCACCCTTCTACTTCACGACCACCTTAAATCAGGCGTCTTACAGAAGCTTCAAGTGAGGTTTTAAAAATGTCTCCTTTTTTCAGGCATCCATTCCTTCAAAGGAGACTCTTATAAGCACCCCACACACACTTTTCCATCCTAGATACTATCCATTTTGAGGTCTATCAGAACGCGTACAATAGCCCTTCATTTGCTGAGTTCTTTTCACCCAAAAAAAAAAGAGAAGCTAAACCAGCGAGTGGTGTGTTCCCACTTTTCTTGTTGCAGTGGAGTCCATTGTGTCGAAAGGAGAAAATAAAAGCTCGCCAAACTTGTGAAACAGAAAGGGACAGCGAACAGTTCCCCCACCATTCATTTTCCTCTCCAAACAGGCAAGAAAAAGAAGCGTTATGTCACAAAAAAAGCACTTTTTGTGCTTTTGTCTCCTCAGAATTTGGATAGAAGAGGTGGTGAGAAAGGAGAATGGACTGAAAATAAATTAAATGTTTTTCTTTCATTCGTTCTTTGAATTTAATTGTTGCTCCCACGTCTCTTTTCTCGCCACGTCTTCAAGCGCTTCTCTTTTTTAGTCGTTTGTCTACCTTGGCCCTTATCTCGTTTTTTGCTGCTTTTACAAATAATCTTTTGTCTTTTAGCTTTTTTAACAACATTGTAATGCCTGCGTCACAGTAATTACGCTCCTTTGACAGAAGGTGACTTCAATGTGTTTCTAAAAGCAGGAAGCACTTTAATTCCCTGCCAGGAAATAATTGTCACGGACTAAAATGCTCCAGTTTATTAAAAAAAAGACGTATTAACAGAAATCTTTTTAATGCACTTTTGTTTTTCCTTCTAAGTGATTTCAGAAACTTTCAGTATTGTCATTAAATCAAAGTTTAGGCCTCCAAAAGTACTTTCTTTCTTTTTTTTTGGTAGAAATTTGTGTACATTATTTTAATTCCTAATGTTTAATCTGAAAGAAGCTGATCAAAAATTATTTGTTAAATACAGAAAATAATAAAATACATTTAATAAAGATGTACAGATTGCATTCAGTGCTTTAATTGGGCCTCAGGTTTGCAAAGCTTCAGTAAATCAATAAATAGGTCCATATAGTTAAAATCTGAAGGTTTTTTTTTTGGGGGGGGGGGGGGGGGTATTGGAGAGTTTGCTGCTCCATCATCTGATGCAGAAAAAGATAACTTAGTGAAAATAACAATAAGATAATAAGTGAACCCTCGCATTAAATGATGGACACATATTTCATAAAACGCTTCCGTCCTGCAACTTCTGTTCTTGTGACGTTTGATGAGACGTTTAAAGCTAAAACAAATCAAACAAATGTAACTGTTTCTAAACTTTTACCGTAGGAAATGGTGATAAAGTTCGACCGATTGTGTTTTCTCTTTACACTCGGGTATTTATTTGCAACTTTGGATGGAAACGCAACTCATTATTCATTTACTGAATAAATAAATATGAACCTTTAGGAATGGAAGGCTCTTTTACAAGAATTGTGTCTTAAAAGTCTTTTATTTGTTTGGTTCCACAGTTCAAGGACGTGCATGTCCATTAACCTCAGAAACGGATAAATCTTTAAAACAGCACTTATGAACAACTACATTTAAAAAAGAACTTTAAGATCAACTCAGCATGATCCTGCTAAGAGAATGACTGTACTCGTATTTGCTTTCAAAAGAAACAAAAAGTGTAAAACGCCACGAAAACACGGTTCTTGACCGAATGGTCTTGTTGCTGCTTTCAGTCCAACCAACATCGTTTGTCTTTGGTCTGCTTTTGTTTTGGTGTGTGTGACAGGTGCCAAGGAGATTGATATCGCAGCTTCTCTGGAGCACCTGCGGGACCAGAGGCCAGGAATGGTCCAGACCAAGGTAAACACACACACAGCTGTGTCCCGAGTGTTCGCTCTTTCAGAAACACGTGTTCACATATATTTAAACGCCAGAACTGAAGGTCATTAATCAGCAAGTTACAAACAATCCAAGAGGTCCTTGGATCTGAACAGATCGTCAGCGACGTGCTCCACCGATGACGAGCAGCTGACTCCAGGATGAGTTGAGATACGCAGAGGAATCAACCTGAATGTGGAGTCTGCAAACGGCTCGTAAAGTTAATGATGATGTCCTCACAGCTCCGACACTGCAGGCAAAATAAAACCAAGCTGCTCTGCACGCTCTAAACAAAATGACAGCAGAACGTGCGTGATGGTGGGCGTTTGGAAGAGCTGACTTCAGCTATTAACATTTACCTGGGGTTACAACTTCGTATTTATCGATTTTACAGAGCTCATGGATTCAGTGTTAGGTATTAAGATTATGCGAGGAAACATTTTCAAGTTGTGCTTTTCAGAAATGACGTCTGCAAATCAGTGCAGGCATGAACGACAATTATTTACAGAAGAACTGAACTGAAGGTGCGAACTGTAAAAAGGTAAAGCACGGGTAAAGATCAGCTGTGTTGAGATTTTCAAAACAAATCATCTGCAGGAGAAAAATGCAGCGAAGATTTGAAAATGTAAACGAGTTTTCTCTCTAAAAGACAAGATCTCAACATTTGATCCAAAACAGAAAGGTCCGTTCCTCGTTGCGTCGCACGCAGATCGATCATTTGCTCATATGAGAACATGAAAATAAAGGTGTGTATGAAACATGCATGGATCCAGACGTTATTAAAAACCTGTGGTCAGAGTGAAGCTCCGTCACATCCTGACAGCAAACACTGATTCTCCTCGTGGACCGGAGCGCCAGCCTCAACGCTCACGACTTCACTCTGATCTGGGTTTTCAGACAAACTTCCAGCCTCTAACCTGAAGGGGATTCATTCATAAATATATTTTTGATTTAGAGTCCAGAGAAAATATATATATTTTTTGGTTTTGTGTCAGAATCAGCCACTTGTGTCCAAACACAATTGTCCTTCCTGCTTCTTCACTTTGCTTCTACAATCCTGGAGGGAAGTCCCAAACTGGCTGTGGAGTCTCTTATTGTGGCGTTTCCTTGTAAATGCTTAGATTAAGGAATATTCAGGTCATTTAAATGTTTAATTTATAATGGTAAAGTGGAAGATTAAAACTGCTTGTATACAACAAATTATATGAAGTAATCAGAATTTTAAAAAAAAATGTTTAGGAACTCTAAACACCACTAAATATCAGATTTGATAACTTTGCCATATTTAATGTTTGCTGCAAAGAAAGGCAATCATGTAAATGTGTCTGTCCTGTTAGCAAAATATCTCATGAACGACTGATCAGATTTTCATGGTTCTCTCAGAAAGTAATCATACAACGTGCATTTATAACTAATTACCTTGAACAAGATGGCCGCCTCAGCTAACAGACCTTAGCGAAGACTAAAACGTCTTTAAATGTCATTTTCACAGATGGTGAGCTGAAATTTGATGTGGTAGTAGCTGAGAGTCATCCACAACTCGTCCTCAGCATCAATCATGAAAGATTTAAGTTTGAAACTTGGGCTGCAGTAAATATTTAGTCCTTCAAGGAATTCTTTTATTTTATAAAGAATTTATAATACGCAGATTTTGTGGATCGACTTTGTTGTCTTCTGCAAATTAGAGTCCGTTTACCCAAATATTCTTAAATGAAGGTTATATTTTTTTCAAGTACTGAATGGAGTTTGCAGTTTTGAAAACTTTATTTTTTTTAAACAAAAATAATTAACAACTTTGCTGTTTTTTCCGGTCCTCTCAACTTCTGAAAATACATTCCTGGTTTATTTTAAAACGTTTTAGTTTCTAGACATATCTTGTTTCTCAAGACTAACAATTTTCATAAACACTTTTTCTTTTTTCGAATCACTTTTTAAATTTTTTTTTTAAAATTGATTCTGATCTTTAAAAAAAAAAACCACTCAAACAGCACAATATTCTTACATTAATTTAGAAGTAACTAATACCATAAAAACACGTTTTATTGCAGAAGACTTCCTCCAAATTGAACACCTTTAAAGCAGATTAACACAAATTCAGTGATGGAGTTCTCTAATGTAAATCCCTGCAGGTGGAGACGCCAAACAACAGAAGCTGTTGTTGCACAAATCTGTCCTGAAGCTTAGAGATGTGGTGCATTTCGATTTCTTCTATTATTTCTGATGTACAGATTATTACTACCCGACATAAAAACAGCCATTACTGAGTTGCTCCAGTTAAGATTAGTGATCCAGAAATTTGTAATTCTCAGTCCAGAACCTCCTTTTTGGGGACTGCCTAGTATAAGGCAGAGACATATTATTATCCACCTAACAAGGGTTTCTTAACTTTATTCATTTCTTACTCTTCCGTCAACTTTAATGCGGCCCGAACCTCAACGTGTACCCCCATACGTGTTGTATCGAAACGACCGGCTCGGCGCTGTGATGTGTGCTATTTTAATTGGTGTTTTGAGTTACCATGGCGACATAATTTGCAAACAAAGATGCCATTTTTCCCATACAAAACATCTGACAGAGCACTTCTCACACTAACAGCTGCTGCGAGGTCACATGACTTTGAGTGGAGAGCTCCCTGAAGAAAACTTAGAAAGTCACAGCTGGATTTGCTTGAAACTCACAGAAAGTAATCATCAGGTATATCGCTAGAACTGATTAACATTTAGAGCCATTTTGATTCAAGATGGCTGCCACAGCTACCCCAGCAAACACAAAATTGACTATAACTCAAACATTCTTTGAGATAATGTTGACATTTATTATGGTTGTAGCTAAGAGCGAGTTGTTATATGTTCCTAATGCAAATCAAATATCCAATATGGCTGCCTTAGCTAAAAGAGAAAAAAATGCAGCAACTCAGCTGATTTTAGAGCCATTCAGCTGAAGTTTGGTGTATTGGTAGCTGAGAACGATCCCTAATAAACTCTGACTGCAAATCAAAAATCCAACATGGCTACCTGAGCCAAATAAATAAATAAATCAAGAACTCAGCCATTTTTAGAGCTATTCAGCTGAAATTTGGTATGGTGGTAGCTGAGAGCGGACCTCAACACACTGTACTGTCACATCAAAATGTTAAATTGGCAGCAGCGTGGCAGTCCCATTCTGCAGGAAGTTTCTAGTTTTTCCTGCTATGCAAGTTGACTTTATGGTTCTGTTTCCGTTTCTCCTGCAGGATCAGTTTGAGTTCGCGTTGACGACCGTTGCTGAAGAGGTGAACGCCATCCTGAAAACTCTCTCTCAGTAGGAAGAAGTTGTTCCAGCTGGAGGACAGAATCACTTATCAGCAGCTCCAGTTTTCTCCATGCCTCCTCTCTTTTTTTTTGTTTCACCTCCAGCTTTTGACACATTGCTGTCATGAAGTCTTGTTTATCGCACTTCCTGTCCCGTTGTATACGTTGTCCTGCCGCCTGGTTCAGTTTATTATTTCCTCTGTTCCTCCCATGTCCTCTGCTCGTTTTTGAAAATACATTTACCCGTTTGTCGTTTACCGCTTCACTCTTGTAGTCAAAAGCCCCATTCGCACGGTATTAGTTTTACCTAGGGACCACATGTAATAAACAAATTACTCCCCAACGCACGGGATAACCAAAGCCTGAGATTTAGCTGAAATTTACGGACATCTTCTGGATATGATGTTAACACGCTGCGTTGTCACGACTGGGTCGGTCCATAATAATGTGCTTAATGTGGCTGAGCTGGTCTCGGGCTTTGATGCGATTTTACAAATCCTACAGCACAAAGAAAACTAAATAAGAATGCACAATATAAAACTGTGTTAATCTACTTGCTGAGGAGGAGGCAGGTCCAACCAGCCAGTTTAAGAGGTTTAAAAAAGTTGCATTAAGCTCAGATGGACAACATGTCACCGGCCGCGCGTCCGCTGACCCGTCGGTTGAAAGGGACTTGCGATTTGTTCATGGTGTACCCCACTTCTTGTACAGCGATGGCTGTAGATGGGCAGCAGTGACCCCCGCTACCCGAAAAGAAAGAAGTGGGTAAATATAATGGATGGATGGATCAGCTGATCACCGGCTGTGCGCATCCCCGCACCTGCTGTCATCTGCGGTGAAGGAAGTAGCATCTACCAAAGCCGAAGCGAGCAGTGCGTTCATTTAAAATAACCTTGTTCTATATTTTTACAAATAATTTTGCTTAGAAAACAAAAACAGCCTAGTCACGTATCGGATCCCGCCCATTTCTGTCCAAATCACAGAGATGCCTATGCACATTGGATTTGTATTTTCACAGAACCTTGGCATTCAGCAAACTATAGTAGGTAATTTGTGGGGGAAGTTTTACTTTACAAATTACTGACATGGCCGATTCACATGGGATTAACAACACAGACAATCTCCGTAATTATTACAAATAGCATGTGGTCCCTAGGTAAAACTAATCCCGTGCGAATAGGGCAAAAGTCTCCTTTTCCCTTTGTCGTTCTTTCCACTGTTTTGTCAGATTTGTCCATATCTTTTTGTCCAACCTTTTAATTGTTCTCTTTCCAACTTAGTAAACATTGTGCCAGGAAATACTTTTACCAGTCCTGTACATAGGTGGACCTTCCTTCTGTTGTAACGATTCGCGCAGCTTCTTCTCCAAAGCAACATCTCACTTCCTTAAAGCACATTTTGAAAGACTGGAATTAAATCTTTGTTCTTTTCAGAAAAAAAAAAAACTTTAATAGTTTGTTTTCTTAGCGCAGATATGACTTCACGGGTATCGGTTAGGTCTAACAAGGTTTGGCAGACCAGTCCAAATGAATTAAGTCAAAATTTAAACATCTGTCAAAAGTTCTTCTATGATGACATCATTTTCTAAAGTATCCCTAAAACTTTAGGATTGGGTGAAGAGCATCTAAAAATCTGACATTATCAAAAGTTAATTTTAATGTAACTTGATTATTTTGTCTTTGCTGAACCTGAAGGTTAAACTGAACCGACGCCCCTGATTGCTCTTTCAGTGTGTTTAAAGTTTATTCTCATGTTAAAGCTGATTTCATGCCGCGTCACAGAGTCTGGTCAGTACAGTACCGAAGATCTTTTACACCTATTTAAAAAAAATATTATTTGAATGTTAAAAATGTGGTGAAATATTTTTGTGTAACTTATTTTAGTGGAAACAATGGTTCTACTTTATATTACAGCTTATTAAACTAACAATAGGGCAGTAGATGGGAAGTAAAATGTAATATATTAACAGTAATGTAATAATCTGATAATTACTGGCAGTAACACATAAAACAGAATAAGATTCATGACAGCAAAGATTAATTGACAAAAACAGGTGACGCTGAGTAACCAGCAACACACTGGTTCATTATTGATCAGCCTAGTTTCTACATAGTTTGTTAAAATATTCTCTAGTGCTCTTTTTTTAATTGCCGTTTCCTTTTAGAGCCAGGGTCATAATTCACTGAAACCATTCATTTTCTCATCATCTCAGCTTCAAAGCTTTAGATCATAGTTCAGCTTCCAGCTGGATTATTTGAGCCTTGAAAACTAGTTGCACCTCAGTGAGAACTATAGATTTAAAGAATACAAGACTAT